AGCTCTGACAGAACTATGGCTTGCCCAAGGTCATCCAGCAGCTGCGAGTGGAGGAGTGGGGAATCAAACCCTGTTCTCCCAGATGAGAGTCCATGCACTTAACCATTACACCAGAGAGGAATTTGCAGCTAGGGTTGGCAACCTCCAGGTGGTAGCTGGAGATCTGCTATTACAATTGATTTCCAGGTGACATAGATCAGATCACCTGGAGGAAATGGCTGCTTTGGAAGGTGGATTCTCTGGCATTATACCTGCTGAAGTTCCCTCCCCAAACCCCACCCTCCTCAGGCTCCACCCCTAAACTCTCCAGGTATTTTCCAACCTGGAGCTGGCAACCCTAGTTGCAGCCAGGCACAAAATGGCTGCCATGTGGGGTACACCTGACCTGACCCTCCCTCAAAAATGGTTGTCGTGGAGTCTCCCATAGAGTGTTGGGAGGTTCTGAGTCAAGCGTCCATCTGTCAGAGAGGCTGCTATTTCCGAATAAGAGCTCCCTACAGACATACGATTCTTACTAGGGTTTTCTGAGATACCTCCTTTTCCAGTGTGATTAAGGGAAGCTGGGACTGGCTGGTTGCTGGACTAGATGGACCACTGGTCTGATCCAGCGGGGCTCTTCTTATGTTCTTATGTCCTGTTGCTGGCCATGCAGAGGAACTGGTTGGCCACTGTGTGAGACAGGATGCTGGACTAGGTGGACCTCTGGTCTGATCCAGCAGGGGTCTTCTTATGTTCTTATGTCCTATTGTTTGCCCTCCAGAGGAACTGGTTGGCCACTGTGTGGGACAGGATGCTGGACTAGATGAACCACTGGTCTGATCCAGCAGGGCTCTTCTTATGTTCTTATCAGGGGAAGGCCTCGGCCTCTATGCCCTGTTGTTGGCCCTCCAGAGGAACTGGTTGGCCACTGTGTGAGACAGGATACTGGACTTAGACGGGCCCCTGGTATGATCCAGCAGGGCTCTTCTTATGTTCTTGTTGGGGATCACTGCATTAAGTAAATGGGCTTCTACAGCATAGGGCTATTTCAAAACCTCAAAGCAATCCAAAGACGGTGAATCTCTGAGATGGTAAACACTGGCTCATGAACTTCATTCCTATAATGACATCAGCCATCTATCTTTTGTGCTTGCAGACACCGGGGTGCCTTCTGGAGGAGTGATTGTCTCCATTATCTTTGGAATCATGCTGTTTATCGGTCTGGTTGCAGGACTCATCGTCTGCCGGCGAAGGTAGAGACAGGAGATCTCAGGGGAGGAGGGTGGCAGTGGAGCGGCCCTGGCTCAGGATTGCAGCCTTCTAACTGTCCTCCCAGACCATTTCTGTCTCCATCCTGATTTTTTTTGTCCCTTTCAGGCGCGCTTATAATCACCGAGCACGGCCAATCCACGATCACTCTAGCTACGACCGAGGTGAGCTTTCAAGATCTGGAAAGGCAGAGCGACTGAAGAGAGGGTGGGCCATACGTAGGTCTCCATGACATATTGTGGACCAAGTGGGCTGCCAACCATTTTAGTAGGGTTGCCAGCCTCCAGACGGGGCCTTGAGATCTCCTGGAATTACAGCCAATCTACAGACTACAGAGATCAGTTCCCATGGATGGAAGGCATTGGAAGGCACTGTACCCCACTGAGGACTCTCCCTTCCCCAAAACCCACCCTCCCGAGGTTTCACCCCCAAATCTCCAGGAATTTCCCATCCTGAAGTTGGCAACTCTACATTTTAGAACACTAGACACTAGTGTTGACTAGTGGTCAAAAATTGGGGAAGTTGGGGTGAGAGCAGGATGCTGATACCTTGCCTGGACTCGTAATTTTTCACTCAGCAGTGACCCACTGGGGGTGTGCAAAAAAAATTGTTTTCCCCAATTTGGATCTGTGGGACCTGAAAAATATCATTATTCCTGAATATTCCCGAATGCCAATATTGGTATTGTATTGGGATTCGGGTAAATATTCAAGAAACCTGAATTTATTTGTCACCATTATACCCTATGGGGACCATCCCCATAGGTTATAATGGAGTTCAGAAGGCATTTAAACTTTAAACCACAGTCTCTTTAAATGCCTTCTAGCCGCGCCCTAATAAAAACCAAATAGTATCAGCTTTTATTCAGGCATGGCTACTTTGGTAGCCAAATCAGATTCTCTAATTTGATTCAGCTGAATAAATACCTGAAAAATACCGATAAGGTATTTTTCGGGTATATTCGGCTCGGTATTTTTTCAGGTATATTCATTCACCTTGCTATATACCGAACGCACACTCCTATGGCCCACTCTCATCTGTTTTTGTCCCCTGGCTTCATGTTTGCAAGGACAAACAGATTCGAAAGCCTAGAAGTGAGAAAATGAGGCACCAGAACGAATGCCTTCTCCCACCACCCCGGAAGCATTTCCTGCTGTTCTAAAATGGCTGTTCAAGTGTCAACATATAGATTTTTTTTTCTCTGCAGAGAAGCTTTTAAGGATGAAGTATTCAACCAGGGCACACGTTTCTTGCATGGCAGATGGCATCTGAGGAGCCCTTGGTGCGGCCCTCCAGATGGGCAGAGGGAACATTTCTGCAAGGATGCCTTAGTGCCCTTCCTTGTATTTCTGCCGTGCAGTCCTGTGCAGGGGTTACTCCAATCTAAGTCCATACAGATCAGTGGATTTGGACTGGAGTAATTCTGCATATGAGCACCTGAATCTGACGTATGGTCAACTGAAGGACAGTATTGTCTACTCAGACTGGCAATGGTTCCCCAGGCTCTTGGGCAGGGGTCTTTCATATCACCTACTGCCTGGTCCTTTTAACTGGAGGTGCTCAGGATTGAACCTGGGACTTTTGATCTGCCACTGAGCCACAGCCCTTGCCTGCTAGAGATCTATCCTAAACAGGTCTGCTCACAATCCTACTCAGGCCTGTTCAGCGGGGCTTGCTTTCAGGAAAGGGTTCTTAGAATTGCACTGCTGGTGATTTAAATTATAGTTGACCAAGGCTGGACAATCCCTGGCGGTGCAGCCTCTGGGCTCCCCAAGCCGACTCTTTTTGTGGCTGTAGCCTCGAGTGAATTTATACTGCAGACTTGATCCGTTTCCTTTGCTGCTGTGTTCCCTCTCCCACCCCAAAAGTTGTCTGTTTGGGATCCCATTCTGTTCTGGGTTGACAACTTCCACTGAGCTATCTGCTATGACCCCAAGGTTCTTTCCCCCTCTCAGTCTCAGGAAGTTCCGACCCTGTTGGCCTATACTTGAAGCTGGGATTTTTTTTTTGTTCCAACGTGCATCACCCGACACTGACCAACACTGAACTTCATCTGCCACATCGTTGCCTACTCACCCAACTTGTGGAGATCCTCCTGGGGCAATTCACAGTCTCAGCTATATCTCAGACGGTGACCGCTAACATTTCTGCTTGAAAGCAGGTTCTGTCTAATTGACCTCCATGCGATTACCTTCCCAGACCACTGGTTTCAGGAGCTATCTGCTATGATTCCAAGGTTCTTTCCCCCTCTCAGTCTCAGGAAGTTCAGACCCTGTTGGCCTATACTTGAAGCTGGGAATTTTTTTTTGTTCCGACGTGCATCACCCGACACTGACCAACACTGAACTTCATCTGCCACATCGTTGCCTACTCACCCAACTTGTGGAGATCCTCCTGGGGCAATTCACAGTCTCAGCTATATCTCAGACGGTGACCGCTAACATTTCTGCTTGAAAGCAGGTTCTGTCTAATTGACCTCCATGCGATTACCTTCCCAGACCACTGGTTTCAGGCTGGACGTTGAGAATGCTCGTCTATTTTGACCTTTTGCTTCTTCTTGGAATCTTTGTAGACAAATCATTGCTTCTTTTCTTCACAGATGAGATCTGGTTGAAGCCTTATGTAGATCTCCAGCCCTACGAGGATCCCAGCCGGGGAGTCTTAGAATTCACAAAGGAGCTGGACCCATCTCTTGTCAACATCGAGACCGTTATCGGCGAAGGTGGGAATATTTGGGGGTCTTGCCATTTATATCTTGGAGGGCCTTAGGTTGGCCAGCCCCCCAGTCCGGGAGGGGGCTCCCCCACTTTTGCTCCTCCCTGCCCGCAAAGGCCCCAAAACGCAGTTCAATGACGTCACCCAGAAGTGATGTCATCACACTGCCAGTGTTGCACAGCGACACTCTAGTTTTTAGGCAAAACTCTATGGTAAATTTGAGCTCAAACCATAGAGTTTTATTCAAAAGCTAGAGCGTTGCCATGCAACGTCGGTGGCGTGATGATGTCATACAAAGGTCCTGGCTAACCCCGAAGATTCCGCCCCACTGGGAAGAAGGTCGGACTTGGCAACCCTAGAGGGCCTCCATTCGCTGTTTCCTAGTAACCGGTCCACTTTCCTTCGCATGCTCCACAGGCGAGTTCGGGGAGGTCTACCGGGGAACCCTGCGCTTAGCAGGGAAGGAACGTGTCATCGTGGCCGTCAAGACCTTGAAATCGAGTTACTCAGACTCAACGTGGTGGAACTTCCTGCGCGAGGCGACCATCATGGGCCAGTTTAATCACCCCAACATCGTGCGGTTGGAGGGAGTCGTCACGAAACGTAAGAGCGCAGTGGGGACTGAAATTCCAGCTTAGGCGACAGCTGCCTCAGCAGGGAATAGGAAGGACGGGTGTCTGTGAGGGCCTGCCGGGAGAAGAGGAGCCTGAACATTGATTTTCAGGGCAGCAGGTCTTCCATTCACTTGGTGGTGGTGCAAGGGGAGGTCTTTGCGGCCAGGTCCGGCCCACACATTGGGGAGGTCGAGGCTGCAGGTGTTGTGACAGTAGGGTAGCAAGTGGTTAATCGTTAAGTTTGTTCTCATAGAGCAAAGCTTGAGTCCAGTGGCACCTTTATTTGCGGCCAGGTCCGGCCCACACATTGGGGAGGTCGAGGCTGCAGGTGTTATGACAATAGGGTAGCAAGTGGTTTAATCGTTAAGTTTGTTATCATACGAGCAAAGCTTGAGTCCAGTGGCACCTTTAAGACCAACGAAGTTTTATTCAAGGCATAAGATTTCATAGAATCAGGGCTATTTTGGGGCAGGAACGCACAGGAACGGAGTTCCGGCGGGCTCCCAAGTTGGCCACATCCAGCAGGAACTCATTAGCATAATAGGCCACACCCAGCAGAAGAGACTCATTAGGATTGGCTACATTAGAGGTGTGTGGCCTAACATGCAAAGGAGTTCCTGCTACAAAAAAAGGCCCTGGGTTTTGACAACAAACAAGGTAAACGGAATAAGAAGCAAAAGGTGGGTGTGGCTGGATAACCACACTTCTGGTAACATGGGGGTGCGGCCTAATGTGCTAATGAGCTGTGCTGTCAGGGGTGTGGCCTAATATGCTAATAAGTTTCTGCTATTGGGTGTGGCCTATTATGCTAATGAGTTCCTGCTGGGCTTTTTCT